CATTTTTCAAAGTCTACTGTAGAAACAGAACAACATGAAGAAGGAGCGAGAACTCAGTGACTCAGTTAAACACCGCAAATCATTAAAATAACGGAAAAACAAAAGTTTCTTTAAAGTATTCGTGTTTGAAATTAAAAAACGGAATCAACGTGTGCAAAAATCTGCAGGTCTAAAAACATGTAATTATGAAACTTTCGATCAAATATTTTATAAAATTTAACAAATGAACAAAATCTGAGACGGTGCAGCGACAGCGTTTTCTGAATTGACACAAAATTCTATATGAAAGTGCTTAAACCAAACAAGGAAGGTGTAAGGCTGGTAATAATTAATCATTATTTATTGTTGATAACCTCATCGATTAAAAACATATTAACCAAAATGGCAGAAGATGAAAAAAATGCAAGTTAGACCAGCTGCAGTACCTGGTTGTTCCACCAGGTGGAGCCTCTCACTGTTTAATACTGTAGAGACCAGAGAAGGCAGCAGGAGAACATTGTGGGAGTTTAGCTGGCAAGTGTCAACGTGTTTTGGACAAGCTTTGAATAATTTTGGACGAGTTTAAAGTCATTTCAGACAAAACTTTAGTCATTTTTGAGTCTTTTTTTTTTGGACAATTCAATTGCGAGAAAATGTAAACAAGTTTTGAAGATTTTAGACCAATTTTGAGACATTTTGGAGACGCGTCAAGATGCTATCGTCAACTTTTTAAGTTTAACTGCAGTACCTGGTTGTTCCACCAGGTGGAGCCTCTTCCTGTTTAATCCTGTAGAGACCAGAGGAGGCGTCTACAGACTACAGCTCATGGTGGCAGAGAGCATTATGGGAGTTTAGCAGCAACGGGACCATGACAGAGACTCTGAGGAGGTTCATGACCTCCAACCAGAGCGATCGAACAGGACTAAAGTCTACATAAAACAGTCCAACGTTAGCATCCTTAGCATACTGCTGCAAATTCTCTCTTTACGACGCTGTGTGACAGCAGCAAACACGTCATTTAATGAGTCATTTCCTTCATTAAACATTTAAAAAGCCTTCGGAAATTAAGGCATGAATGTGTGTTGGTTAGCAACGGGCGCCGAGATAAAGACTTCTGAGACGATGAATGTCTCTGGACAGTATTTCTTCAGCCACGTGGCTACGCTGCCATCGCGGCAGATGTTTTGAGGACAGGACTAAATATCTCCATCACCATGAAGTGGAATAATGGAACAACTAGCTCAGGATCGACTGTCAGTCATCGGTGAGGAGCATCAATTAAACTCTGTGCGCCTGGCTTCATGTTTTCTAGCTTCTTCGTTCTCGTCTCCGCCTCAGGAATGTGCGTTCACGTGCACCCGGAGAACAAACTGCTGCACATGTCAGAAACTCCCCGGCTGGAATTTCACAGTAAAAAGAGTTGATGCGATGTGTCTCGGGGTTACGTAACGGCCCATAACGGGGACAGTAGGTTAGAGCAACACATCCACGCTCTGCTTCTGCTCCAGCTGTGTGAACTCGCCTTTCTGTCCAGACTTGTGGCGTCACAGCTGAATGAGGCTCTGACTGACCGGAGGCGCAGCTTTGAGACCGACCACTGCCTGCTTGTTAACAACACCGTCGCCGCCCTGAAGCCCCTCAGGCGACGGGTTTCTGCACCGTTCCAGGTCCGACGTGAGCCGGCGAGCTGCGTTTCTGATCGCTCGCGGCTCGCTGAGGAGTTTTGACAGCGACGTCGGAGGCCCTCGGGCAGCGGCGTCGCTCACAGAGGAATGTGTGTGACGTATGTCCACACACACACACACACACACACACACACACTCGTATAACGGACACGGTGCACGAGGCACGTGCACGCTCGCTTCATGTTTCAGATTTATGTTGCTTCGTCTCGTAACCCTCAGAGCCCCAAACCTTGCCGTCTGGTTGGAAACCCAAGCTGACTTTTTTAAAAAAATAATCACCAAAGTTACCATTTAGAGCCGAACACTGTGAAACCATAAGACTCATTATTTTAGACAGACTTTAACCCCTTCAACACTCAGTAACTTTGCTATAAATTCATGATCAGACATGGTTTTGATTAATCGCTCATTAATTCTTCAGTAGACGTCACATCGTTACACATCTGGTATCAATCCAAAGCAGCCAAAGGTGACGGTTTAATATATCTGGAAGTTTACTCTTGTCGTACACATACAGGTGAAATACAGGTGTGATAAGGTAAAGGTAAACGTTATAATTACCGGGGAGGGGGGTCTTAGCGAATGCTGCTAACGGTTAGCAGCGAATACGCTAGTGAATACAACGGTAATGAAACTCAGCCGGCGCTTGTTGTTGAATATTTTTCCGTCACGTACCCTCGAAAACAACGTATCGGCCCAATCTGCAGCGTGATGTCTTCAGGCAGCAGCGTTACTCTGTTAGAACACCGGTGAGAACCCTGCATGCAGTTAATCATCAGTTCTTATAACTGAGACATCAGCAGAAGTTCTGTCATTAGCTGATAACGTACAAACATTTCTGAAACGAGGCAGCGAAAATCCCGTTTTCTGGTGATTTCTGGGGTCAAACGACGTCATTTTGCTTCGTTTGCATGATTTATTTCATCACTGAATCTCTTGTTACATACATGCGGGGATTCCCACTGATAGCCAATCAGAATGACTGTGACAGGAAGTCGCCGTATACCGGAGCCACGATCCCGGAGCTGCCATACCGGGCTGCAGGGTTGGACGGGAGTCGTAATGCTGGCCCGGTATAGCGGGCTATAGTGTCGAAAGGGTTAAATCATTCTGGACAATGTTCAGCTCATTTTGGAGGCTTCACTGCAAAATATCTAAAAAATAAAAATAGAACCTGTCTCGTCACACCACACATCACATCTTGTTGGTAAAATGTCGACCAACGGCTGCATTTCTTGCAGGAAATCTGGCTACATCCATAAATACACACTTACAGGAACTCAGTGGTGCCCCAGGACCACATGTATCTGGCAATTCTGCACTTTTTTCCCATTTTGAAGAACCATTAATCAAAAATGTTGCGTCTGCTGGAGATATTCAGTCATTTGAGTCTGTTAGAAACTATTCTAACTGTGATTCAATGCAGCATAAAAAGAAACAGCTCATCCTAAATACATAACGTCTGATCGGAGGTCATGAACCTCCTCAGAGTCTGTCATGGTCCCGTTGCTGCTAAACTCCCACAATGCTCTCTGCTGCCACCATGAGCCGTAGTCTGAGTGAGTAGAGGTGGAACAACCAGGTGCTACAGCTGATCTACGGAACATCATCTGACACAAGCATCCTCCATCTTCATATTCACATCATATTGGGTTTTTTCCATTTTGAAGGACCACTATTATAAAGTTTTTGCTTCTGCTTGTGCTTTTCAATCATTTGGATCTACTGGGACGTGTTCTGTCTGTGCTCTCGTCACATTTCACGGCTGTTAGGGTTGAATTTCTGGAGATACTGAACCTTAAAAATGGCTTTGCAGGGCGACAAACCCCAGGTCTAATGCTTAAAACGCTGCCAAATTGTTTTGCAGAGAATACAGTTTACAAAAGAATAAACTCGGAACAAAATAAGCATCTCTGAGCTTTTACTTTGAAAGTGCATATATCAGCCAATCAGCAGCGAGTCCCCGGTTCCTGCAGTGAGCAGAGCAGCAGACCCTCCAACAAACCGTCACAGCTCAGAAACTAGAAGTCGTATCACAAAAATTCTTTCAGCGTGTGAAGCAGAATCTTGTTGTGAACATTCTGATGTATTTTCATGTCCAGACTGTCTTTTATGCAGATTTGGTGGCAGGTTAGAGAGACTCACTGTTTCTGGTTTTCATAGTTTAGAGCTCAGATATAATGGGAGTCAATGAGAGTTTTGGTCGACTCTCTGAGCTTTGAGGGGATTTATGAAGAAACCATGAATCCTACAGCAATGAGACTCACACTGGGTGGAAGAGGACAGAAATACCTACATTTAATGTATAAAGTGTTCATGTGGAGGAGAAACTGTGAGAATGAGACGAGGTTAACGACACACTTGTCAAAAAATGCATTTGGTCAAAATTTAGCAGCAGTAAAAAAAATTCATAAAAGCTAAACTGCGACTGCGTAAAAACCGCAAAAGATATTAAAACACAGATTTAAAAGAATCACATTTAAAGCCTTGAGACCTGTTTAAAGTTTGAATGAAGCTTCTACTGTAAAGTCTTCCAGAGCTACATGGATCCAGAGACGGCGGTTCTGGGAGCTGTCAGGCCGACTTCCCGTTCAAACTTCATAAAACTGAACAATGAGTCGCTGACAGAAATCACACCGATCTCTGTGAGATAACCCAAAGCTGCAGGACCAGTCTCCTCAACTCTTATGCAACGAAACTCCTTTAACAACGGCGTCAGAGCTGCCGATGCCTCCAGACCCACACATGACGAGGTGGCAGCGACTCGGGTTTGTGTGGAGACGAGCAAACAGCAAACAGAAAGAAGGAAGAGTGAAAACGAGCCGGCTTTCAGCCCGAGTGACATACGAGAGCGACAAAAGAGGAAGAAGGAGCAACGGCCGACCGGAGCCCCTTCGAGTGTCAACGAGTGCATGTGTGTGCGCGCGAGTAGGAAAATGTGAGTCCTTTCTCCTCCGAATACTTGAAGTGAATCCATTTTCTGAGCGTATAAAGACGCCAGTGTGCCGCTCGGCTAATCTCCACAATGAATCCTCCTTCCCCTCCTTTGGTTTCGCCGCCTCCGTCCTTTCCTTTCCTCGCCGCCTCCGTCCTCCTGCGCGGCTCCTCGTTTCCGCCCGGCGTGGACGCAGCTGTCGGCGCGTTGTGCGGCGCTCGCGCTCGCAGCCAACACGCATTCTCAATTAGCCTCGTGTGACGCGCTGGCGCTGCTGCCCGGGCATCTGCTCTGGCATCGGCACACTCGGCCTTTTAAGGCCCAGCCGGCCGGACGGCGCTCGAGGAGGACGCTAATGAGCTCGCTGCTGTGTGGCCTCTGTGTGTGTTTGCGTGACTCACCGTGGCCGTCATGTTGTTGCTCTCCTCCATGATGGCGGCCGAGTATTTGTTGGAAGGCATCGCTGTGGCGCTCGACTGGTCCAGAGGTTGTCCCGACTCCTTCTCAAACCTGCAGACACAAACACGCCGTCAGCAAACCGCTGCAGGCTGGAAAACAAACCCAAAGCTGTTTCCTCGTCACCTTTAAACTTTTGTACCTGCGGCAGAACTTAAAGTTCTGCTGGTTGGCTCGCAAACTAACAACAAATGTCATGTGGGGGTGTCGGGGAGACGAGCCAAAGCAGACGGAAACGGCAGGTTTCAAAAACAAAAAGTGAGCTTCGTCAGCCGAGCAGTCTGAACGGCACGTCGTCTTTACAGGTTCACTCCATTTATCAACCAGACACTGAAAGAACGGTCCGATTTTTAAAGACTTCTGGAACTAATCGTGTGAAAACCGACCAAATCTCAGCCTAAAATCAGGATTTATTAACAAAATCACGTCTCATTTTAAAAAATACCACAAAACAAACCATTTGGTTGAACCATAGTCTCTAAAAAACTAAAAATTCGGCACTTTTCTGCCATGAGTGACTCATCTGCAACCAAACAGCCGCTGGACAGAAGTTCACGGAGTTTTGGGTTAAACAGCACATTGTCTTTGCAAAACTTACTCTATTTATCAACCAGAATCTGCAAAAACAGAAAGAAGTGTCAGATCTTTAAAGAGTTCTGGAACTAATTGTGTGAAAACCGACCAAATCTCAGCCTAAAATCATGATTTATTACCAAAATCACATTATTCTACATGTCTCGTTTTCAAAAAATGCCAAAAACAAACCATTTGGTTGAACCGTATTCTGTAAAAAACTAAAAATTCTGCACTTTTCTGCGCTGCCAGGAAGCTGTGAGTGACTCATCTGCAACCAAACGGCCACTGGACAGAAATTCAGGGAGTTTTTGGTAGAAAAAGAAAAACTCAAACTGTCATCACATCATCATCACTTCGTCCCAGCATTAATATCTCAGAGCTGTAATTAGTTCCCTTCTTGGTTTAACACCTCATATCTGGAATTTAGTGGAAAAGCTAAGCAAACGTCCCCAAAAAGCAGCGTTTTTATTTCAGAATTCACTCTTTCGTCGGTAAAATATGAGCTTGAAATGGAGACGTTTTATTAAAATCACTTCATTTGACGCGTCTCAGTTTAAGAAAAGCATCTAAAGACGACAATTTGCATCTTTTAGGGTCATTTTTTAGTTTCATTTTTGCATCTCTGAGCGTAACTTTAGTCTGATTTGCATCATTCTAACTGATTTATTCTGACAGAAGACGTCTCTGAGTTCTCTCCTCCTCTTTCATGTGGTTCTGGTTCCTCAGAGCTGCTGAAACATGAACCTCAGTGAAGGAACATGAGACGGGAACAGAAAGCACCGCTGCTTGTTTGGACATAGTTCTGTATCATCAGTCATGTTTGTACTTCTGGTCTCATTTTTGTGCTATTTTTGCATCTTTTCTTTCTATCTTTGCCTCTTCATGTCATCCTCACTGTGTCACTCTTAAACAAAGACGTCTCTGAGTTCTCTCTCCTCCTCCTTCATGTGGTTCTGGTTGCTCAGAGCTGCAGGACTTGATGCTGCAGAGAAACATGAACCTCAGTGAAGAAACAGGAGACCAACGCAAGAAACGCCCAGAAATCATTGTTCTTTCTATTCTTTAGTATAATTTTTGCATCTTTCATTGTCATTTTTGCGTCTTTTGTGCTTCTTTTGTATATTTTTTCGTCTTTCAGTGTCGTTTATGCTTCTTTT